TATATATATATATATATATATATACATACATTATTTATATATATATATAAATTAGTAATGTTCTCAAACAAATTTTTAGCATAACATATGTCTGTAATAGTCGGTTTATAACAAGACTTGTAATATTTAAAGTGTTCTGAATTAAAAGAACACAGCAGACCAGTTGCAGCTATTGTCTGAAACATGTAAATGTTTAATGCGTGTTCATTTTATTACACGAACGCGTTGCGAGGCAAACATGTAGTTAAGCAAAGCGGCTTGATGTTGATGCTGGTTGACGTACGCTCTCCTAAAAGAACGTCCCAGAACAGCGCGCTTTGCTTGAACTGCCGACTCGCGACCAATCGCTTCTCCACTCGCAGCTGTCGAGGCAACACTGTTTCCGGGCAGAGGAACATTACAGGAGCAAAACTCTCATCTCAGCGGGTTACTGCCCTCATGATGTATGTGCCACATGCAAGCTGCTTATAGAAGCTGCAGCAAAGCCCGCTAAAAACAACCAAAGTTGTTATTAAATAGCGTTAAATATATTTTGAACAGATTGAAGAGAGCTTTGGTTTAATTTGAATTGTATTTCCTTATAACTGAGAATGAAGAAAATTGTTTGAAACCTTACAATGGGGCTAAAAGGCTCAGTTCAAAAAAACTTTTAATTTTATTATATTAATACAGCAATATAGTTTTTGTGAAAATGGTTAAAAAATAAAATATAAAGCCAGCAGGTCTCTACAGTCTCTCAGTGTGCATATTATTCTGCTCATGGTCAATGAACAGTGTACATCTTTGGAGCTACATTGTTGAAAATATTTTATTCAGCAAGGATGCATTAAATTGATCAAAAGTGACAGTAAATATGTTTATATTGTTACAAAATACTTTTATTACAAATAAATGCAAAACATTAAGCTTTGATTTAAATGTTTTAAAATATATTAAAATAGAGAACTAAACATTTCTAAACTGAAAGACAGAAAATTTTAAATTGTAAATGGGGGGTTTCAAGCTTTGTAAAAAAAAAAAAAGAATGGTAGTGTAGGCTGCATTGTTAAAGTTATTATATATTTTGGAGCAGCCAGTGTAAGTTTATTTTTTACGTCCTATGCAACAAACCCAT